CTCGTTGGCCTGGATCGTGTTCAGCTTGGACCCGATCTCCGTGTCGTACTGCTCGAGTTCCGCCGAGAGCTTGGAAATCAGCTTGTCCACTTGCGACTCGAGACGCGACTTGGTCTTGTCCTCCTTGCGCGGCGCCACGGGCTCCTCGACGACTGCCGGCGCGGGAGTCGCGACTGGCTCAGGCGTGGCCGCGGCCGGGACGGCTGCTGCTGCTGGTGCCGGCGCAGCGGGTTCCGCGGCGGCGGGCGTCGCGGGCTCGACGGGCTTGGTCTCGGCGACCGCGGGCTTGGCCTCGGGTACCGGTGCAGCGGCAGCGGTCTCGGCCTCAGGTGCTGGGGCCTCAGCGGCCTTCGCTGCCGCAGCAGCAGCCGCCGCGGCGGCGGCCGCGGCATCGGCCTTCTCCTTCTCCTTCTGCAGCAGGTCGGCTGCGCGCTCGCCCTTGATCGACTCGAGCACGACGCGCTCCGAGTCGACGGCCGACTTGGACGTAAGCACCTTGATGGCCTCGCCGAGTTCCTTGACTTGCGTCACCGACATGCGCACGTCGGCCTCGGCCACCTCAGTGGCGGGCGCGGCCGCAGCAGCGTCCGTGGTCGCGACCGGGGCGGGGGTCGCGGCATCAGCGGCAGCAGCTGGCGCAGCAGCGGGAGCCGCGGGAGCGGTTTCGGCAGCCACGGCGGGCTGTGAGGCAGCGACCGGCTCGGCGACGGGCTGGGCAGCAGCAGCAGCAGCGGCCGCAGCGGCCGCAGCGGCCTTGTCCTCTTCCTTTTTGCGACGCACGTCCTCGGCCGCGGCCTTCTCCTGCGCGAGTTCCTCGGCGATGATCTCTTCCTGCTGCTTGAGCACCTCGAGCCGCTTCTTGTAGGACGGTTTCCCGTCGCCCGACAGCTTGAGCTCGGCCTCGGAAATCAAGTTCTCCGGCAACGACTGCAGCGTCGCTTGAAGCGCCTCGGCCGTCGTCGGCGGCAATTCCGCCACGGGCTCAGCGGCGGGCGTCGTGGCCGCGGCCTCGACCACCGGCCGCTCGCCCTTCAAGTACATGGGCTGGTCGGTGAAAATAAACGCGCGCGACAGGATCAAGAGCGTCGACGGGATCTTGTGAATCAAGTGCAGGTCGAGCCACTGCTGCAGGTCATACCGCAGGCGCGCGGGGGAGACGCCCATGGTCTTGATGCCGCGATCGATACAGGCCTTTTGCAATTCCGGGATCGACAGGTCGTTGACGCCCTCAAAGAAAATCATTTGGTCGTCGGCGTGCAATTGCCGCATCTTGGCGCGTAGCTGGTAGCGTAGCCAGTTGTCGGTGCCAAACGCATTGATGCCCATGTACTTGCACATCGACACGAGTTGCGGCCGCGACAGGTTCTCGAGCGTCAACTCGTCCTCGAATTTCTGCGCCACCTTGATCAGCGCGGCCGTATCGGCGGGCTCGCCCGTCGTGCGGATCTTGCGGAAAAAGTCGGTGAATTCGCCGACCGCCTGCTTGTTCTTGCCGGCATTGTCGACAGCCATTTCCGAGACGGTTTCCTGCAGGAACTTGGCGAGCTGCAAGCGCATCTTGAGCACCTTCTTCTTCTTCTCCTCTTGCTCAAACGATTTCTCGAACGTCGACGGCAGCATGTTCGGGAACAGCTTGAGCAGGACGGGCAGCGCGAGTTCGGCAAACGGAATCGCGACCAGGACCAGGAACGGCACGAGACGGAACAGATCCGAGACGGTACGGCGCAATTGTTTTTGCTCGCGCCGCGACAACTGGTTGCCGCGCATCAGCTTGAGCAGGTACCGCGTACTGAGCCGAACCTCGTAGGCCAGCAGCTTCGACCCTTCCTTGTAGTGCACGAGCTCCTCCTTGATGTGCGGCCACGTGTCCTCGCGCAGCTTGCGCAGCAGCGGCTTCTTGGCCGGGACAGCTGCGGGGGTCGCGGGCGCCGGCGGCGTCACGGGAGCGGGAGCGTCCGTCATAGGCGGCGAAGCCGCGGGCACGGCACTGCTCGCCGGGTCGGTCGGCTTGGGCATATCCTGCATCGGCCCAAAATTGATCAGCGCACGCTCAGTCATTCACTCGTCCAAAATCAGTGCGTATGTACCATGCGCGACAGCGTCGTCGTGAACATGCGCCACTGGACCGCGTCCATGGCGACTGGCGACGCGCGCGGCACATTCGCGCGAGCGCGCAACAAACTCGTCGTCAGAGCGGGCGACGTGGTCGACACGGCACGGTGCGCGGCGACGCGTGTCACGGGCGTGGCCGCGGCAAGGCGGCGGAGGGCGAGCATGGTGGCGGGCTAGTGCGGATAACGAGAGAGAGAATGAGCTCACAGGCTCGAGTGATCACAGCTCTCGACCGTTCGCTGGCTCGTTCAAACTCCATGAACGACTGGATGGCTGCGCGAGCGCCGGTGTTGCGTGCGGTCGGCCGGGTCCACCCACCCAAGGTCTTCCATGGCGCCGAACCGAACCACGGGTGTTTTCATCACTCGTGCAGCCGGGAGAGACGCCCGGTCGGCGCGCACACATCCATCCCCGCCCTGACGAGCAGAGCAACACCATCCAGCAGCGATACAAGCGCAAATCATCATCCGCGGGGAGACGTGCGTGTGGTCGGAGTTGGCAGTAATGTACCGTCGAAGGTGCGTGCGGTCGAGTCCACACAATCCAATTAATTTACAGCGTTCGGCGTCCTTCAAGGTCCAAACGGCGCCGGGCAACGGGGTCAAGCACGCGAGCAAGGTGCACAGCGGCGTGGCATGAGCTGGATCGTTGGATCCAGAGCGGGAATGGGGGCGAGCGAGCTTGCAGCGTTGGCAGCAGTCGGGTGCTTGCTTGTTGTTGGTGGACTGGTTGGGCGAGAATGGCGCGCCCAGCTGGAACTTGATTACTCGCGAGACGAGCAGGAACGGAAGGAAAATGGGGGGGAGAGAGGACGGATGGACGCGGTTGACCGGCGTGTTGATGTCTGTTCTTCGTTGAGCGGTCCCGTGTCTCGCAGAACGACACGAGACGTTTGCTCAGCGAAATGAAAGCCAGCAGGGACCGGTTGATCGACCGTCGCCTGCCTGGTGCCGCACGCCGCCACCAAGCCGCCGCGACGCCCGTTTGGCTCCGTCCCCCACACTTCGTCGCAAAGACTGGCGCAGATCATGGGCCCTGCCACGTTGCCGCCGCGACCAACGCGTCCCTGTGATCCTCCAACACTCTCCACCCTCGAGCAGACCGCTCTTGGCGCTGCTGCTGGCGTCGACGCCGACGACAGCCCAGCCAGCCTGGTCCAGCAAATCAAAACGACTATCCAATACAACGGTGCCCAAAAACACGCAAGCCAAACCAAACCAAATCACGACGCGGAAAGCAGCCATTCAGCCGACCCCCTCTTCAAGGGGGCGGCGGCCTCGCCTCTCCGCGAGCAGGACCCAAATCACGAATCACGGTCATCGCACGCACGCACTGCTTAGGCCTTGTAGGTGCCGTAGTGCGAGAAGATGCCGAGCAGCGACCACCAGACCTGCGCGGGCGTGTGGCTCGCATCGACCTTGCGATGAATACCCTTTTGCGCATAGTAGGCGACGACGGGCGCCGTTTGCTTGTGGTACGTGACCAGTCGCTTCTTAAGCGCGTCCACGTTATCGTCGGACCGCTGCATGAGCGGCTCGCCCGTAATGTCGTCCTTGCCCGGCACCTTGGGCGGGTTGAACTCGACGTGGTAGGACCGGCCGGACTTGGCGTGGATCAAGCGGCCCGTGATACGGGCGACCAAAAGCGAGTCGTCAATCGACAGTTCCACGGCATGGTCGAGCGTCTGGTTCTTGGACTTGAGCATCTCGTCGAGCTTCTCGGCCTGCGGGACGGTGCGCGGGAACCCGTCGAGAATGAACCCGTTGGCGCACTCGGTGTTGTGCTCCAGGTTGTCCTTGATCAGACCCACCACAATCTCGTCCGAGACGAGACCGCCCGCGTCCATGATCTTCTTGGCCTCCTTGCCGACTAGTTTAGTTCAAATGGCGCGAATGCGGGTGTCGACGAGCAGGTTAGTCTCGCTTGATCGGGAGGAGGTCGCGACGCGCTGTTTGCGGACACGCCCATGCAGCGGCGGCGGCGGGCGCACTCGCGGGGCAGGAGGGCGTGTGTGCGCAGAGTGGGGTGGAGGTCCACCGCGCAATCCGAATCCTTGCCGCGTCGTGGAATGCTGCAGCCCGTTGCGCCGCGTGGGCCATGTCTCAGCACCCGGCACGCCTGGGTCCACGTCGCCGACACCGCCGACACGACAACAGAGGGGGAGAAAGAGACACATACGCTCCGTGCCGGCCGCAACAGCCGCGCGCAGCATGTCGCCCGTGGCCAAGTGGCACGCGCCAAACAGCGACTTGATGGCGGGCGCCTGCGTGCCCTTGCCCGCGCCGGGCGGGCCCATGATCACCTAGCGTTGTGCTTGCCTCGTCAGCGAAAAACTTGCTCGTGTGCGTGCTGGTGCTGGTGCTGCAAATGTCGGTACCATGCGGATGGCGCGCGGCAGCGCAAACACCTGCTTGCGGGGCGTCTCGTTGGTCGTGGGGGCCGGCGACATGATGGCGAGATTCTGTTGGTGCAGGCGGTTGCGGGAGCTGCAGCAAGTCCGGGGACTGGGGCGGTCGTCGTCGTCGACTGGGACTAGAAGGGCGAAAGATCCACGGCGAGTGCGGGGTCGGGTCCGAGGTCTCCAGGCCAGTTCCGCACGGAGGGAGCCGGGATCAACATGATCACATTTGTGTTTTCGCTTTTGGTCAGGTTTTCGGGCGCGAGGTTTTGCCCATGTTTTGTGTTGTGGCCGAGGCAAAGGGACAACACGAAAAAGCGTGAGGAACCTGTCAAAACTGTTGGCTTTTGGCAGTTGTTGACGTCACGGTCTGCTAAGCGACGGGTCATCTGCGCTCCCCTGATGGCGACGCAACCGGTGCGAGACGTGTCTCGCACTTCCATTCGAGGTGGTCCGTCGGTCAAATACTTTGCCGACACGCATTGATCATGGGCGTGTGGCGCAGCGGCGATCGCGCTCCCCTCCGGAGCTCGGGGGGTTCGAACCCCTCCTCGCTCGATGGATTTGCTGTTGTGACGTTGAACCCAAGGTTTATCCCCCCTGGGAAGGCAAGTTTTTTCGCTTCGACAATGTCCCATTGCCCTCTCGGCCCTCTGTTTTCTTTACACTTCCCTTGCCTCCGACACGCTCTGACACAAGCATTTCCGATGCTGATGAACGTGCCAGCCATTTCAATTTTCAGCCCATTTCAGCCGAAGTCACTCACAAACCACAATCCACTGATGATCAAAAATATACCTGTTTGCCGCAAGGATTTGCACCTATTCAACAACACTACGACCTCTTCTCTGCCAGCACCGTGGCCGCTCCACGCGGCGGCATCAACTGCGTGATCATCGGCCCCACCGCCTTGACTGCGCTCGCAGCCGCGTCCATGGTCGCCACGACCCCCTCGGCCGGCGCCTGCTGCTGCTTCTTTTCCTCGGCGTTGGTCGACGACATGCTACACAAGGTGAACAACGCGTCAGATCAGTATCACCGCACGACACCACAGAACAGGCGATCAAACACGTACTTGCGCAACAGGTCGAACCGCGGCAAAATGCGACTCGCGATATACACGTCCCCGGGCCCCGTCAGCTCCACGAGCTCCTCCTGCCCGAGCGCCCAGTACTTGATCCGCGACCGCACGCCCTGTCCGATCCCGCGGAACGACGACATGGCGTCGCGCGACATGTCCTTGACGACCGTCCACGCGCGCGCCGGACCCGACTCGGCTTCCTCGCTCGGCGTGGTCACGGCCACGGTCGTGCCGGTCGCATCAGTTTTGGCGCTCGCGGCGAGCATTTCCTCGGGGATGACCTGGTCAGCGTTGACGGGCTCCGGGATCATGCTCGTGTTCCACGCGATCAGATGCTTGGGGCTCACGCGGTAGACTTCGCCGGACGTCAGGACCAGGCGATACAGGCCACCGTACGTGGTAATCGCCAATTTACCCTTGCCGCTCGCGCGGTAGTGCACGATGCCCGTGTCGGCCGACTAGTGTAAGGGGTGGAGAAGGGAGGAACGTGAGCGTGCTACCGCGTGGAGCGAAGCGCAAACCGGCCGGAAAACGGACCATGGTGAACCCGCTCAGCCGCATGTTGAGCGAGATGCCCGTTGTTGACGCAAGGTACGAGTGCCGGCGAATGTAATACTCTACAGCAGCGCGTCAGTTTGTTGCGACCGCCGGACCCGCACGACGGAAGGAACAAGAACGTACCGGCCGACCCGTCCATTTCCAACACCGCGAGATCGCCAATGCCCTTGGGCGCAATCAGCACGTCGCCCGACTCGGCCTTGGGCGTCGAAAACACCTGGAAGAACATGGGCCCGCCCTGCAGCTTGCGCTTGAGCGAGGCGAGCGGGCTGCCGCCTGCCGCGACAAACGTGCGGATGCTGGCCGACTGGCCGACGGAGACGCCCTTTTGCGTGTAGACCTTGGTTCCTGGCGGCAACTTGGCGACGAGCATCGAACCTATGGTGCGCTAGGATCAGCTCTGGCATGGACACGCAAGCGCGGGTTGAAGAGGATGCATACCGAGACCGGCACTGACGACGGTGAATTCGGGCGCTTGCTGCGCGACAACGGGCAGGTCGGGCAGCGGGGTCGCAATCACGTCCTCGATGGTGACAATCTAAGGCCATGGTACGTGCATCCTGGTCAGCAAATGTAATGCGAGTGGGGTTCGAGCTGGTCGGGTTCGAGGTTGGGTTCGACGGTTCGAGGCTCCCCCGTTCGACGGGATACTTCGATCCACTCCACACTCACAAGCACACAATACCCACCCTGCGCACAAGGTCATCCGTCCCCGAGGCCCCGCGCGTAGTCGCCGCATCAATCTCGGACGGCGTGATACTCGCGACCCCCTCGGCCGCCTTGGCAGTACTCGCATCCTGCGCGCCCGCATCGCGAATACCCGGCTGCACGGCCTGAATCGTGTTCTGCAAACTTTGGCGAATCGAGGACCCGAGCGCCGTCTTGCGCGCGGCCAGCCACGACGTGACCGACTCAGCGGCTGCCGCGCGCGGCGACGCGTCGGGTTCCGCGGAAGAAGTGGCGGCAGAGACGGTCTGTTTGGGCGCAGCGTCGCTCGCCGGACCGAGTTCGGCGGCACGCAGCGCGGTCGCGTGTAGCGCGCGCGTGGCCGTGGTCAGGGCCAGCGTCGTGGCGGGGCGGGCGCGCGCGAGCATGGCTGGCGGAGATCAGCTGGACGAGTTGAAAATGGCCTGTTGCTGTTGTTGTTGTTGTTGTTGTCGGTCCTGATCACGTCGGCCACTTGCCGCTGAGTCGCACGTTGCGCAGCGGGGGCGCGCAGACGGGCTCGGCGAGCGGTGCCAAGTCGGTTCTTGTGTGCGCCAGTGCGTTGGCGCCTGTCGCTCGCGGCCTGCTGGAAATGCTGGATGGTGGGGTGGTTGGTTGGTTGATGTCTGTCGGTTCGGCTGTGCCCCGGAGGATGGTTGGCCTGCTCCTGTTCGATTGACGTGTCAGCGTGTCAAACCGGTCGTGCGCTTGCGGCTGCGGTGGGTCGCGCGGGCCGTTCTCTTTGGTCGCGTGTGCCGCCCAGCCTCGAAACGACAGCCATCGCTCCTGTCCTCAACACATCAACGCGACTACTCCACCTTCCTCATCACCGTCGTTGACGACGTCCTCGCCGCGCTGAACCTGCAAGCAAACGGCATCCAACCGCGCGCATCCGACCGCCCCGCACCACGTCCACCAGCATCCGACCGCGCCGGTCGTCCACATCCAGATCCACGCCTCTGTCGACCTTGGCTGCACCGACCTCCGCGATTTCCGCCATGGCCACCGAAGACGCACGCGCCGCGTCACCCGAGCCCATGAACGTGTGTCCGGCCGACGCGGCACCGCCCGCGGCCGACCCGCCCGCAGCAACGCCGGCGCCGACGCACGCTCCTGCGGCAGGGACTGCTGCCCCCTGCAGCACCGCACCCGACGCGAACGTGCACGACAACATGCACGCCGACGAGGGCGCCCCCGACGACGACGCCAATGCATGCACGTCCTCCAAGAAGACGCGCATCACGAGGGTATATTTACTTGCTGCGGCCTTATCCTTCCGCGGCCACTGGCGGCGTGGGCATGCGCGCGCCACGAGGCGGCGACTGCTGCACCGTCGGCCATTTGCTGCGGGTCATTCGTGCGCCTGCCTTGATCCTTTTGTTGATGAACCTTGCGCCCGCCTTCTTTCTATTGTTCGTGCCTGTTGCTACGATCTGCAGGCCTGCGCGACGTGTCGGTGAGTCTTTCCTGCTTACGACGCCGTCGCGGCGTGTTCGCGTTCGACCTCCAGTCCTGACCCTCCTCCATTGATCCCTTCTTGTCAATAGGCAAAGGCGGGTGTGTACCTTTCGACGATGACTGCCCGCCGTTCCACTGTACCGTCCGGTCCCTTTGGCTCACGCTATTTGTTGCCTAGAAACGCTGCGACGGCGAGTTCCCGTGCGGGCCATGCATCGAATTCAACCGCCAATGCTGCTACACGCCCGCCAAACGCCGCGGCCCGCCGCCACGCAATGCCGTGGCCCCACCCGAAATCGTGCCCACCATCTCGGCCCCGTCCTCCTTGGCCTCGCTCGCATGCATCACGCCAGCACCAACCTCGCCCGCGCTCGCGACCGCGTCGGTCCCGCAATCGATTCTCCCGCCACCAACAACGTCCTCGGACCGCAGGCGCAAGCGTACCGACTCGCCGCACCACCATCGCACTGGGTCGGACGGCAGCAGCATCAGCAGCGCTCTGCGCCCATCACCCTCGGCCGACATATGTCCCATCGAATCGCCACGCCATGACCGGTTCGCGACCACGTCGTCGTTGACTTCCTCGGCAACCACCACGGCGGCGGCGTCCAAGACGGCCACGCCAACGCTGCGCCCCGCAACCCCAACGGCGGGTCCGCCCGTGATCCAGAACCCGACGTTTGGCCGCGAGGATTTGCTGCGCGAGGTGAATGCGCTCAGCGAGAAGATGACGCTTGTCGTGTCGCTCGACGAGCAAGGGAACCTCGCGCACATCAGCAACCTCGGCCATGCGGGCGGTCTGCACTTGTTCCGCAACTGGACGCGCACGTTCCGGTCGGCCGATGGGCTCGTCTACATGCCCGATTTGGCGTGGTACGCACCTTCCGCGCCTTCTCCACCCAATCGTATTCGCACCCGAGCTCACCGTTTCTTCGACGACAGCTGTCACCCGTCGCTCGAAGAGCAGGCCAGGCACCAAGGGCTGTTCCCCAACTCGGCATTCGTCAAGGTCATGATCGATTTTTACTTTGACGCGTGCCACCCGTACGTGCCGTTCCTGTCGCGCGCCAAGATTGACGCACATCTTGCCGCACCAACGCCATCCTACTTGCTCCTCTACTCGGTGCTCGCTGTGGCCTCACACCTGTTTGAGCGCCGGTACCGGATCGGGCCCGCCAATGGCGTTCTCATCAGCCAGCTGCTCATGGCACGCGCCAAGGAGCTCGTCTCGCCGCTGCTCTCGTCGCCAACGCCATGTCTACTCAACATCCAGTCGCTGCTGCTGATTGAAATGGTCGACCGCGAGTGCGTGCGCGGGTCAGCGTGGCTGATTTCGGGCATGGCCATTCGCATGGCGCTCGACCTCGGGCTCAACCTCGGCGTGCCCGAGTCGTTCAAGGACAAGAAGCTGATTTCGTCGCCCGTCTGGACCAAGACGTGGATCTACTGCTGCATTGTCGACTCACTCAACTCGTTTTTGACGGGGCGGTCGCACATGAGTGCGTTTCCTTATTTCGTTGCGTCTGCCCGGACCAGCCACTGACTTGTGCGTTGTTTTGCTCCACCTCAGTCTCCGACAGCGACTGCGTGCAGGACCTCGAAGAGTGCCTCGACACGCCCGAGAACCGCGCGCGCAGTCCCAAGGAGGAACTGATCCCGGCCGACCACTTTTTCGTGTGGCTCTTCAAGCTTTTCGAGATCACGGGCAAAATTGGCCGCACAATTACGTCCATCCGGATCCGGCGCAACCTGCCCT